GTCGCTGCTGGTGGTGATAGGGCGTAGACGTCGAGGCAGACAGTGCGCCAGTGGCGCTGCGCCAAGGGGGCGCGCACGGGGTATTCCTCTGAGTCGCACTCGTGGCAACCGAATCGCACCCCGCCGGGGTCCATCGGGTTTCCTTCGCGGGCGCAAACCCATGCCACTGGTCCTGAGGCCCCCTTTCCCATTCCTCTGCCTTTCCTGGAGGCCGCAGGCGTCTCTCGGGGGCCATTGTCGGACAAGTCGGCTTTGAAACTCGGTGGCCCTTGCCATGGCCCTTGCCCTCCTCTTAATGACCCTCCGGACGAGCCGCGCGGTCTCGCGGTTGCTCGAGCGCCGCCGTCGCGCCTCGCAGCGCACGTAGATCCAGAACAAGTGTGATCCGCGCTGCTCCACGGAAACATCGCGCAGATCGGAGTCGTCGGCGGCGATCCCCCATCGCCGATTGAGCTGATGGTGTCGGTGTCGGCGCCGGAGTGGATGGCATCTGCTGGGCGTGCCTCCTGCGTCACCGGCGCTGGTGCAGGTGGGCTCGGCGCCGCCTTCAATGCTGGAAGGCCTGGCCCGTCGAGGCTCGTTCTGGCTGCAGTGTCATAGACACTGTGAGCCTTATCTTTCAAAGGCGCGCCCGTGAAACACGCGCGCTGTTGGGCTGGGTGGACCGTTGAGGCGAGATTGCCGGGCGATCCTCGAACGCGCGCACACAGCGTCGCAATTGACCCGTCATGCGCGCGAAATGTGCTGCGTCGGTCGGGTAAGTCGTGGAGCGATGCAAGATCGCATTCAGCTGCGCGATGAACACTCCGACCGCGCGTAAGAGAAAGAAGCTGATGCCCTCGTCGCCGGTCTTGAGTTAACCAGCTTGCTGGGCGCTGGTGTGGAGAACGCCAAAACGCGCGATGCTGTTACCTGTGCGCCGCTGCAGCAATCCACCTGCTGAGGCGCGCCACCCCTCGTCCAGTTGGCTCCAGAAGTCGGCCAACATGTGCATCATGATCGTCAGGGGTAGGGCTGGCACGCCGTTGATGGTGCCCCCCTGCACGAGGACAACTGGCGGCCTCTCGCCAACGCAGTCTCGGGCCATGCCAATGTGACGAGACGAGACGTAGGCCGCCTGGCGATAATCGTTGAGGACCGAATTCAACACTGACCAAACCATCACCTCCCGCGCCGAACGTTGGTATATACATGAAAAATGAGGCCGGCATTGCTGCTCGGGCCCCCAGGTGCGAAGGTGCCGCATGCTGCCGTCGCCGCCACTGGCGTCCACGCAGGCGAGGCAGCTGGCCAAGGCGCGCATGCCCACTGCGATGGCAGTCCACGCACGAGGAAGTGCTGGGGGCCGGGGGCCCACCCGCGGCGATGCTCGGACCGTGAGCCTCGGAGCCGTCGTGGGTCCCCGACACGAGCGTGCTCCTTTCCGTTAGCGCATCGGGCGTTATATTCTGTCGTGTCGCTGTGGGTGCCACCGCGCCCGGGACATCCCACAGCGTGATTTCGAGAGCGCACATCGTGCGTCGCGGCGTCGCTGCGTTCGCCGCGCTCGGGACACTCCACAACATAGCTGCGGACGTGCCACTCGTGCGCCGCGTTGTCACTGCACTGCGCACCCCAGCAGCACGATCGTCCAGGGGAGTGCGCATCGAGATCCCGCTCTGCCAGCCTGAGAAAAGGCCGCGGGCGCGAGGGTGTCGCGTACCAAGAGAATGAAAAGAGGCTGTCCCATGGAGGAAGAGACGGCAACACTGTTGTCCAACATTCCACCAGACGCACGACGTCATCCGAAATTTTACCGACATGCATTCCCCATGGTTCCCGCAACATTGTTCCGAAAACTTCGGGGCCACTGAATCAGGCTGCTGATGTGAAGAATTGTGGTCCACCATTTTCACTCGAAGACAAGACCTGTGGATCCGAGACAGCCTCTAGCATTCTTGGACCACGCCCCGGGAGAGAATCAGGCAGCGGCGGAATGGTGCCGCGTTCCTTGCAATTCTGGACGATGTCCTTGTAATGGTCGGTGTCATGATTGCCCGACTAAGCGGAGACGAGGATCATGAACCCTGAAAGCAGGAGCAGCCGAAGCACTCTTGCCGAACAAAATGAGGATGACGGGGTCGAACGAGGCGAACAAGATACCAGAGGAGGTGCAACGCGGGCCATCGCTGCAAGATGTGGCGGGAAGAAAAGCGGTGCTCGCCTAGAAACGTTGAACACTAAATGCGAACTAAATTATGGTTTTGCCCGTGGGTTGCCACGCTGCTATAACGAACCCTTTTCTGGGCCACCGAGCAGAACGGCCGCGGGAAAAGGTGAGAGATTGGACAGGGCAAAGAAGCAGGAACATCAAGTAGGCTACTGTCGATTGGTAGGGGAGGGAGGAGGGAAAATGGGGAGGAGGATGAAGGGGAGGAGGAGGAGGAGGAGGCGGAGGGCCTCCCCATCCTCCCTTTTCCTCCTCGGTACCTGTGGAAGTGGCGGTGGAATATTGGCCCATCAATAAAGCAGGACGACACACCGCGGCGAGGTGTGCAGCGAAAGAACTGGCCGAAGTGCCTCTTTCTCGCGCCGTCGCCCTCGCCTCTGCCGCGCGAAACCCCGGTCATGATCCTCATCCTCTCCTCCTCCTCATACTCCCCCTCCTCCTCCTCATCCAGCTGCTCCAATCCCATTTCAGCGTCTCCTCTCCTTCCTCCTACTCGTGCCCCTCCCCGGCTCCTCATCCCTTCATTATGTTCCTCCATCTCCTCCCCTATCTTCCGCCCCTCCCCCCCGCCTGCTCTGTCATTTTCCTTAGCCGAGCTCTGGGGGCGCGCTGTACGACTGGTTCCTTTTCCTCCTCCTCCACCTGCTCATTATGGCAGGCACTGTAGAGAGAGAGAGCGAGAGAGAGAGAGAGAGTGAGAAGATAGATAGGGAACTGAGCAGGGTGGTTGAGACACTGAAGGGAGCCGAGGAAGGTGAGGACCAAGACGAACAAGAGGGCGCGAATCGAGGGGACCGGGAGGGACAGAGGAGGCAGAAAGGGGCAAGAAGGACACCTGCTCAGAAGGACAACGGGCCCTGAACGCGCTTCGCTGTTCTCGGGGCCCTGGCTGCCCTCCACGGCTCTAAGGAAAACAAGCAGCGACCTAGGGTGAACAACTTGCCCAAGGAGGAAAAGACCCAATGATGCAGAACCTTGGTGGGCCCCGGAAACTGCAGGACCGTATTGTTCACCGATCTCGGGAAAACGTCTCTTAGCATGGAAACAATAACAAAAAACACGGCGACACCGGAAACAGCAAAAAAATGGCGACGGACCCGGCAAACAAAAACAGCAAACACCGGAACAAGCAAACAGTGCAGGACCCGTTTCACAAGGGGACTTCATTCCAAGACCAAGGACCAAGGCAGGACGACGATCAATCCAGATGGAGGATAGGTCGTGACCCTTTGGGGAGCTGGCGGGCTCAAAGGATGCATCGGGCGCCGCGGCGGTCCAGACCGTTCTGGCATGCTCTTAAATAGACCCGTGACGCGGCGAAGCCATTTCCATCTCAAATTCGAGAAGGGGGGTCGATTACATAATCGATTTACCCCAAACCTGATTTTCGCGCTGAATTTGTGGAATCACTACACGGAATGTTCGTAGATCGACGGGTCATTCGACGTGTCTTTCGTAGATTCGACGAACCAAAAAAACAATTTAGGGGTACATCGATTCTGCAGTCGATCTCCTACTCGACACATGCTAACCAGGCCTGCAAGGCTTCTTGTTCCCCTGCAGCGGAAGACCAGGCTGAGAGGGGCGGAGGTAAAACAAAAGAACAAAAGGGGCAGCAATGGGGGAGCGAGCATCGTGTAACCGGGGCGGTAAAATGGTGGTTTAGATGGGGATGGGGATGGACTCGGGTTAGTTCGGGCATGTCCTCCTACAGGCGGATAGTGGAAGAAACAATTAAACTGGTCACAAATGTTCAAAATAGTCTGAACTATTCGGACAATCATCCCCCGACTATTTTTTAAACTATTTTTGAATGTTCCCCTCCTGTGGAGGGGCATATCCGACTTGAGACTCGAGGGCCGGTCAAAACAGTTCTGCGGGGAGTTGGGTGGCAGAGGAGGCGTTCCGCCCAGCTCTCCCCGACGAGAGCTTGCCCAAAGCCTGCCTGGTGCCGCCAAAGCTGGGGATCCCAAGGCGGTGTGGTGACATACCGTGCGGTGACCTCGGAGCGCCCAACGACCTTACTGCACGTTCCGTCACCGCACGACCTGGGGACTCTAGATAGAGGCCTCCTAAATGGGGTCCGAGTAGATGGGGTCGAAGGATCGCGCCGCATCGCCAATGCATCCCGATGCATCGGCGATGCATCGGCGACGTCGGCGATGCATCGGCGACATCTGCGTGTGGAAAAACGGTCTCCGCATCGAGCCGCATCGTCGATGCATCGGCGATACGGCGCGATCCACCGACCCCATCTACTCCGACCCCATTTGGGAGGCCTAGACTAGAGGCCCCAGATCGCCCGAGACGCCCTCGAAGAGCGACCCGAGTCCCAAAACAGTGCGGTGACCCCGTTTGGGGGCCCAAGACAGAGGCGCGGCGCCCCAACCCCCCCCCCCCGCCCTTGGCCTGGCGCGCGTGGGCGCCGCGCGAAGCCGGCGCGCGCCGCGGAGGGGGCGAAGACGCCGGTGAGGCATCGGACCCTGGGCTCCTCGAGCGTCGCTCCTCTGACCTCGACCCTGGACCCTCGCTTTAGGTCGGGCATGTCCCCCTACAGGCGGATTCTGGACGAAAAATAATCCTAATGATACAGATATATACATCTATAAAAAAAATCACATTCTCAGAAAGCAACAGAAAAAACAATCGAACAATCGTCCCCCGGCAAAACACAAACGCTTCATCACGCGCAAACTCTCGGACGCCCGCGCAGGTGCCTCCGATCTGCGGGCGGAGGACGTAGGCGGGGGGGGGGCAGAGGAGGCGCGGAGTGCGGCCGAAGGTCAGGGGCTCAGGTGCCCGGCGGAACGTACAGCTCCCACACGAGGTCCGCGAATGAGATGCAGTTGAAGGTGACGATGTTGTACCGCCAGCCTCCGAAGGCGCTGCGACTTTTCTGCGCAAGTGCAGCACCACTGCATCACGGCGCAGTGCTGCGACGCAGCCGCACTACTCTGAGGTCGGGCATGTCTCCCTACAGGCCGTTTTAGGACAGAAAACGATGGCCGACAAATGCTTAACCATGATGGAACATACACACAACACATCGTCCCCTGATAATTGTTGATTGTTTTTGACTAGTCCTCCTGTAAAGGAACATGACCGACCTAACACTATTCTCCTCTGCGGCATCGGGCTGCTGCCTGTCACCCACCTCAGGGAATGTGAAGGGGGAGAACGTGGAAAGGGAAGGCGGGTCATTCAAGACGAAGCGAGGCCAGCGCGTGGGGGACAAGTCCCCAGGGAGAACGGCGGAGTGAGCAAGGGGAGGAGGAGAGGAGGAGGAAGAGGAGGACGACGACGAAGGGGCGGCAGATGATGAGGAGCGGCACGGGAGAGGAGGAGAGGTGGAGGTGACGAGGGGGAAGGATAAGAGTGAAGAAGGGGAAGGAAAACAGAACACAACGACTCTAAGGGGCCGGAGTCGATGGTAGACTCATCGCTCGGGAAAAAGTTGCCCCCTGAGTGGCCTGCAAGGGTAGCTTCACTCTGCAACCGACCTTTGAAGGCACGGAAGAAGGGGAGGGAGAGGGGAAACGGATGCCGAACGGAGCCCCCAACGCAGAACTACTGCCCCAAACATGCCATGCCCTGATTTGTTGTCAGGACGGTACTCCTGGAAGTCCTGACCCTTTCCCCTGGACCGGTACTTCATCGTGAATCTATGTTTCTGAATCCTCATTCTAAGTATTGTACAGCCCCCGAGCCCAGGCAGAGCCCCCAAAGGCCGACAAACGGCGAAACACCTCCAGTCCTGACCTTTTTTGCACGGCTCTGGCCCCTGCACCGGCCCTGGCTCAGGAGGCAACTACTACTGGGAGGTCCTTCGTCGGAAGGACTCTCACGAGGATGAAGGCCCCGTGGGGGGCTGTGACGCTGGACTGGGCCTCGGATTAATGATTACAAGCGGGATTAAGCCGGCTTGGCCGGGAGTAAGCGGGATTAGTCCGGATGAAATCGGGACTACGCTCGATTAAGCCGGATTCTGGACCAAGGCAAACAACATCAGAATTGATGGGCCTGTTTTCCACCACCACCACGATAAGCTGGATGGGGGGAAACAGGAGGAGCAGGAGGAAGAGGAGGAGGTGGAGGAGGTGGAGGAGGTGGAGGAGGCGGACGAGGCGGACGAGGACGGGGAGGAGGAGGAGGAGGAGGAGGAGGAGGAGGAGGAGGAGGAGGAGGAGGGAGGGAGGAGGAGGAGGAGGAGGAGGAGGACCCTCCCCCTCCAACTTATGGTGGTGGTGGTGGAAAACAAGCCCATCAAGAATTTGACCTCCTAGGAATTGCACCGGCCCTGGCCGCAGCTCCAGCGCCAATGCCGGCGCCGGCCCGGATCCCATGCCTCGGCCCCGAACCCGCCTCCGGCCGAGGCCCCTGCCTCAACTCCAGCTCCAAGATCTCGCGGCCTCGCGCCTCCCCCTACGTCGGGTTCGTGTCGTGCTGACTTCGGCGTTGGTTCCTGGCACCGCGGATATCGTTCAACCTTGAACGATCGGCCGTTCCCGAAACATCCAAATCGTTCCACATCGAACGATTCTGGGTCGCCCGCGGCGTTCAACGCTGAACGCCGCTGGCGGGGTCGTCGCCGGTCGACACGACACGACCGTACTCCCTTGTGCACGCCGCCAAGAATGTTAGCAAGCAACTACTGGGAGGTCTTCGTCGGAAAGATAAAAAATGATTCAGCCCCATTGGAAGGCTGTTATGCCGGAGTAGGCCTCGGATTAAGCGGGACAAAGCCAGATTAAGCAAGTTACAGCGGGATTTAACCGGATTGAGCGGGATTAAGCCAAATCTCGGACCAGGGCAAAATCTGAATTCGACCTCCCAAAAATTGCATCATCCGAAGAAATGGGACCGTTGGATGCTCATTTTGTATTGGAGCTCGCTGGGCTCGAAAAAGAAAAAACGGCGTAGCCGTCAACTTTTGGCGGTCCGCGCGGATTTCTCGGATCTGCCCTGGGCCCCCCTGGCGGCGACTCCGGCGCCCCCCCCCTACCCGGAAACCATCAAGTACCGATACCGCTACGCCCCAGACCTCTCCAGATGTGCGTTCTGGCCAAGACTTCGAGGCAAATCCGCTGTTGCTGACAAGGCCCTCCCAGGAGGCCCAAAAAGGCGAGAACCAGGCAAGGGTAGCGTTGGGTCGGGCATGTCCTCCTACAGGCGGACTGTGGTAGAAAAGTGAACTAGCAGCTTCCAGCGATTCAGAGATGGGCAAACATGGGAAACTCGCCCCCAGACTCTGTTTTTGCTTAGTTTTTGGGCACCCCTCCTGTAGAGAGACACATGCCCGACCTGGAGGTAGCGGCCTGGGTACCTTTCTTTCCTCTGGCCTGGTGCGCGCCGCCGACCAAAAAAAACAGAGAGAGAGAGAGAGGCCGGCGTCCTCGGACGGCGGCCAGGAGCTGCCGCAGCCGCTGCAGGTCGCCGCGCTCCCGGGGCACGCCGCGGCGGCGGAGCGCCGCGGGGGAGCTGTCGGGGAGCTGGCCCTGGCGGGAGAGGCCGGCGGCGCGCAGGAGGGGGGTCCGCACGGCGGGGGCCTGGTTTTTTTGACATCCACGTCACACCTCCACATCCTCGGGACAACCGAGGGCCAGAGCCAGCAGCGGAGGGGGATGCTGGCTCCCTGACACAGACCAATAGTCTGAGTCATCAGCGCAAGTAAAACCAGCTCGAGAGACCAAAGGGGGTCTCTGCGTCCTGACGTGCCAGCACAATGTGCACCTGCCGCAACATCTCTAAGAGAGGGGCAGGCACACAGGGCCGGGACCCGTGGATCAGGAATCCAGGGTCTGGGAGCCTGTGGGCCACCTTGTGGACACATGGCCATGGGTAGCACCGCCGCCCTCGTCAGATGAGGAATCCTCCAGGGGCTGAAACCTCCGGGCGTACTCCTTAGGCCCGGCCATGTCAGGAGGCAACTTCTGAGATGTCATCATCAGAACGATGAACAACGATTGCAGAAGGAGCTCGACCACAAGAAGCCTTCCACAGGAAACCCAACCCTGAGGCCCCCCGGACGTCCATCGACTGTGGGAACGGCACGTCTTCCACAGCAGAACCCTCGAATCCCAGGAAACCCAGGGCACCCTGGAGGCAAGCCAGGTGGTTCTTGGCATGGGTGTCCGCTGTACAGCAACCGCCCAGATTTGCCATCCCTAATGCAAAGACGTGGACCTCAGTGAGGCTACGTCTGCTAAGGCCGCTATTGGATGGACGCTGTCGCCAGAGTCGGCGCCGACATTGACATTGGGGGCCCGGGGGCCTCGCCATGTCGTGGGAAAAACTTGCGTTTGATTTCGAGGAGGGATGTCGGGGGAGGGGGGAAGCCGTCTTAGAAGCACCCCGGCTTGTTGCGCGATGCCAAAACGACGACTCGCTGCAGCCATCCTGCTGCCATGTGCGGGCAAGACTTGTGTCCCCAAACATGCTCGCGCTGTGACAAACATCGGTACGGGATTTTTTTGCCATTTCCAGCATCTCGGAACCCTCACCGGTCGGTCGAAAAACGGGTCAGGACTTCCAGGGACACCGTCCTGGAAAAACAAACCATTACTCGATGAAAGACAACGGGTCTGACGCGAGATGGCACGACGACTTTACGCGGTGGCTAACGCGGTCTGGTGGCGTGGCACGCAACGTTGAAGATGAGGGCGCTCACACGCGACCTTTCGCGGGCAGCTTGCACGCCAATGTCAGCAAAGTCGACCCCGTTTTTTGGGGGTCGCCCATCTGTTTCCAGATCCACGGCGTCCTCAAATGTTCGTGCTCCCTTGCCTAACCCCAGGACGCAACAGGTATGGACAAAAGACTGGCCTTCCAAGAAGCCAAGATTTACTTCATAACCACCGCGTCTCGGGTGCTTGGCAACGCGCCCAACATCATCCAAGACGACAGGGATGTGGGTACACATCCTGCCCGCACCAGGAGGATCACAAGAGAAGGAACAACGAGCCCAACACCATCCAAGAGCCCAACGAGCCCAACACCATCCAAGACGGCAGGGATGTGGATACACGTCCTGCCCGCACCATGAGGATCACTAGAAAAAGGAACGACGGGGGGATGTTCTATAGCCACGGCGAGCCTCGGCCACGGGACCTCTCCACGACGACGACGTTAACACCCCCGCGCTGTTGAAACCACTACGACGGAGAAAGATGATGAGGTGGAGGAAGAGTAGGAGGCGGAGGTGGACACGGGGGAAGCGGATTTACATATCGATTCCTTTTGTGGCAGGGCGGGGTACATAGAATGGGAGGAGAGGAGAGGAGGCCTCGGGACCAGAAAAAACGGGTCCTAGACCCTGGACCCCGAGGTTTCCCCCCTTGCTCGGCTTTGCATGACGAGTCGACGTTTCAGGGTCCTAAGGGCCAGGGAGGACCCCGACGTGCCGAACGTTGCGAAAAATCCTATGAACCCCTTCCCTCTACACCCCGGTCCTCAGGACTGAGGTGCCCCGAAGGCGTTGGAAGTCGCCAGAGCTTTCCCTTGGGGCGACTGAGGTGCAGCGAGACCCACGCATCCAATCCCTTGACTTGCTCGAGCTGGGGCCCCCGACGTCCCGACCCGCTCTCCAGGGCTGGTCTTCCATCCCGAGCCTCTTTTGTCGGAGTCCTCGGGCAAAGACACGGCACCAGGAGGCTGAAGCTGGCGAAAAACATCGGCCATGATGAGTATCGTTTAACCAATCCCCATCCCCAGCGGCGTGGCCTGGGCCCCACTGGCCGATTTGCCCCCTTAGATGGGTATATAGATCGCTCCCTTCGAGTTTCGAGGGGTGAATCCCCAACTGGGGTGGTACTCCGGTGGGGGTCTCGAAGGGGATGGGGATGGGGATGGGGGCCGAGCTAACCGATGCTGACATGATGGGGCTCCAGACGGTGACTGCCTGGGCACGTGCCCCCGAAAAAGCCACGGACGGCTGGATCCCGTCGCCCGCCCGGCAGGGGCACGCGCACCGGAGCCGCGCCGCACGGGCCGGGGGCGTCCGAGAGGGGGTTGCTGCGCAGATCACGACCCGAGGCATGTGCGCGAACCAGGGGGACAAGAGGGACGCACTGAGACGAGAGGAGGGGCCACGAGATCCGCGGATGCATCATGGCCCCCGCCATCCTGGCCATGCTATCCAACCCCCCTGGTCGTCTGACCCCCGCCTTGGGACGCCCCCGAACGGGAAGGCCCGAGAAAGACCCCGAGAAACCGCGCGAAGCCCATGGCGACACACCTCTGGGACGGGGCCCCGAGACCCCGCCTTGCGCGAAAGGCGGCAGCGAGAGACGGATTGATCCAGCCGGCCGCCCGCCGCAGCAGTGGCGACCATGGCCGCACCCGCGCCCTCGCAATCTGGGATCCTGGGCGTGCTCCCGCGGAGACGCGGTCGCACGGATACGCTCCGCGCGGACCGCCCGCCAAAGAGCGCCCCGTATCCTTGGGGTCGCGGCCCGGGTGGCTGGCCCGCGAGGCCGCGAAGACGGATAGGCTTCCCGCCCACGAGGGCCACCGACGGGGGGGGCCCGTGACCTCGAAGTCCCCTGAGATCCGCGGGGGGCCTTGACCGAGCAGAGACTGCCTCCTTCTGGACCTCTCCCGCCTAGGTGCGCTCTGGCAGGGATCCTGTGGCGGACCCAGCCGGGACGACGAGGGACGGGCAGCGGCATCGGCACCTCTTCCTCCTCTGCGTTCGCGGCGAGTGGATGGCGGACGATGGGCCTGTTTTCCACCACCGACACCACCACTACAAGTTGGAGGCGGAGGAGTTCCTCCTCCTCCTCCTCTTCATCCTCCATCTCCTTGCCCCCTCCAAGCTATGGTAGTTGTGGTGGAAAACAGGTCCATCAGGAGGAGGCGAGGCATGGACGGCTCGGGTCGCCCGTCGTGTCAGGAGGCGCGCACAGCTGGAGCCGTCCTGTACGTGGGGCAAGTGGCGGTGGAGCTCGAAGCACAGCCCCGACCGGCCGTAGTCGAGCCTGGAGCGCGGAACTTCGATTGCACATCATGGGAGCCTCCCATAACATCTCGTCGGCTCTTGCGAATCGACGCCAGTCGACGCTGAATCGACGCTCATCGACGTTAAATTGACGCGAATCGACGCTAAATCGGCGCCATCTCATCGACTCCCATGCGCTACCCGACGCTACATCGACGCTGAGGAAGGAATTCTGAGGGTTCACCAGGCTCCCATGATTTGCTACCGAACGGAGCGGCATCGGGCACCCTGCTGGCATGAGAGACGACGGTTGGATGCTCATTCCGGGGACCTTCCTGGAGACACTCGCTCCACTCTTGCGTCGAAGCTGCGTCGAACGTCCGTCGATTCGAGTCGACTCTGAGTCGAATTTGAGTCAAACTTGAGTCGAACTTGCCTCGAACGAGAGTCGAAAAGATCCGCCAGGTGGGCCCCAGGAAGGTCCCCCAAAACGTGCACCTAGTAGATCTGAGGTTGGCAGAACTGGGTTTAGTGGAACCTGGTTTATTAGTCATCTGTACTGGTGGCGCCCCCACGTCCCATTTCCACTAACTGGAACCCGAAAAAACACCAACTATGGCAAACCTGGTTTAGTGATTCTGGCCAATTCAAAGGCTCTGGGCCCTACCACAAACCGGGTCCCCTTGCCCAGGGTCCTGGCCGTACCCGACTAGAGAGGGCACGCCAAGCTCCCATGACTTGCCACCGAACTGGAACGGCATCGGGCACCCAGCTGGCGTGAGAGACGGCGCGGGCTCCTCCACCCGACGGACGGCCTCTCGAGGCCGCCGTCGAAGGCCAAGAGAGCGGGGGGCCTTGCCTGTCCCGTCACCACGGCCCTGTCCGCGTCGAATCCGCGTCGAATCCACGTTGGCCTCGTCGGATCCGCGTCACCTCCGCGTCGCATCCACGTCGAGTATACGCCAGGTCCGCGCCGAATCCGGATCGAGCCCGCGTCGGGCACCAGAAGAGAGACCAATCTTGGGGAAAGGCGAGGTCCTCCGGAGAAGGAGAAGGAGGAGGAGGAGGAGGAAGAGTAGAGGGAGTAGGAGGAGGAGCAGGAGGAGGAGGAGGAGGAGGAGGAGGAGGAGGGGGAGGAGGAGGAGGAAGAGGGGGAGGAGGAGGAGGAGGAGGAGGAGAGGAGGAGGAGGAGGAGGGAGAGGGGAGGAGGACAAGCTAGGTGCGCTCGCGTCATATCTGACGTCCTACCCCTCCCTCCCATCCCTTACCATGGCGCTGATTTTCTCTATCCGCGGACGCGTGTCGTAGCGGACCTGTGGCTCCGCGCGCGCGTGCGTAGTGGGTGGTGGTGCACGTGCGTGCGTGCGTGCGTGTGTGCGTGGTTGTCGTGGTGGTGTGGTGGTGGTGGTGGTGGTGGTGGTAGTGGTGGTGGTGGTGGTGGTGGTGGTGATGGTGGTGGTGGTGGTGCTGGTGGTGGTGGTGACTGGTGCTGGTGGTGGTGGTTGTGGTGGTGGTGGTGGTGGTGGTGGTGGTGGTGGTGGTGGTGGTGGGTGGCGGTGCGGCGCGGTGGTGGCGGGCGGATGGGCGCGCGAGAAAAAGGCCCGCGCTGGGGCGAGAACGCCATCCTGAACGACGGAGGCCAAACACCGATCCGAAAATGAGGCCCACGCTGCAGCGGGAGCACGATTCGGAACGATTCGGGAGCAGAAATGAGGCCGGCGCCTCAACGAGAGCAGCATTTTGGGAAAAAATGACGCCGGCGCCTCAGCGAGAGTCGTTTCCCGGGATTTCCCGGGCATCCTGTGTAAAAAACAATACGCGGAGGGTGCGCGGCCATCACCCGGACGCCATCAGGGGAAGAGGGAGAGTATTTTCATATTGAGTAATTGTGGAGGAGGATGAGGAGGAGGATGAGGAGGATGAGGAGGAGGAGGAGGAGGAGGAGGAGGAGGAGGAGGAGAAGGAGAAGGGGGAGGAGGAGGGGACGGAGGAGGAGAGGGAGGAGGGGGAGGAGGAGGAGGAGGAAGAGGAGGAGGAGGAGGAGGAGGAGGAGGAGGAGGAGTTTTTCCCGCCGTGTAGTCCGTCTCCGACGACTTCCACTTCCGACCCACAGCCTATCCCGGCCATTCAGGCCGAGGACGAGGACGAGGACGAGGTCAAGGTTCTGAGAAACCATTCCCACAGATGGCGGCGCCGGCCATTTGGCAAGGGCGGGGGTCGCCATGAGGGGGCAGCGCCGATGACCACCAGAGGGGAGACAGGATGACAAACCCGACCAGGGGGGCAGCGGGGAGCGGAAGGGCGAGCGGGCACGCAATGAATGATGTTTCTGGCGGCCACGCCATCGGAACGCGCCTACTGAATAGCTCCGGTTGTCTGCCACATGCCGCGGGCGTCCAACCACAAAGGCGGGCAGAGAGGCCAGGCGTTTGGCTCGCGGATGAACGCTATCGCTGTCTTTGCTGTCTTCCATGAGGTTCGTGGGTTTGGTCTGCCGAGGCGTGCATAGCACGTTCGCCGTCAACGCGGACGCTTTTGGGGAGGGTCTCAAGCTCGAGATGGCTTGGGGGGGCTTTGGCGTTCATGGCGCCGACCGGCCTTCAGCTGCCCGAAACGAATGGAAGCGAGCTGTCTCGTGGGAAAAAACGGCGGCCGCCCAACGAAGCTGGGACACGGAAATGACCCCGTTGGGGGTCGCGGTCTTGCCGCTGGGGCCGTCGTGCCGCGATGGCGACTTACCCCTGACCTGTATCGTAAGTTTGGAGCGTATTGGGTGCCTGTCGGGGCCTTGCGGCGTGTTTCTGTGGAGCCTCTGGACGGGGGATTCTGGAAGATTTTCTGGGAACTCCGTGCAGGACGTAGGCGCGAGACCTCCAGTACGCTTTTGGGGACTGTTGGGAAGCCTCCTGGGGGCCTTGTGGAGGACATTTTGGGAGGCTCTAGGGGCCTCTTGGGCCTTCTTGGGGGTCCTTTTGGGGCTCGTCTGCGCTGGCTGGGGGCCCTCTTGGGCAGTCTTGGGGTGTGTGTGCCCTCGGGCACTCTTGGGGCCCTCTTGGGGCCCTTTTGGGACCCTCTGGGGCCGTCCAGAGGATCTCAGGTGGCCCTCTTGAGGCTCCCTTGGGACCCCCTTGGGGCCCCCTGGGGGCTGTCTTGGGCCGTCTTGGGGTTCTCTTGGGCCGTCTTGAAACCCGCCCTCTTGGAGCCCTCTTGGGGGGCGTCTTGGAGCAATATTTGGGGGATCTTCGGTCGTTCTGGGCGCTTCGAAGACCGACAACAACGAATGTGCTAATGTACGCTTCCCAACGGGAATGTGACGATTGTTGCCTCTTGGGGACTTTTGTGGGGGCCCCTGGTGCCGTCTTCAAGGCCACTGTTACCGTCTAGATGTCGCCCTGGGCCCTCTTGGAGCGCTCGTGGGCCGTGCTGGAACGATCTTCGGGCGCCTTGGGAGCCTGTGGGGCTAACTTGGGGGCCTCTTGGGCCAATGGGAGGCGTATACGCTGTCCAAGAGCTTTTCCGGCAAGTGGCTCGGGGTTGGGGAGTACCGTGCAAAAGGTACGGGGGGAACGGCCATCCAGGGGGGATTGTCCCATGCAGGACGCATAACTATAGGAATATATGTGTATGGTGCGCGCTACATGTGTGAGCTCGGTGGTCTGAACCTTGAAGCGAGGGGCCACTCATTAGCATGACACATACACAACGAAAGAACTGTCTCAAATGTCCGGTTGAGCGCGTAGGGCCAACACTTGCAAACTGTGGCAGATCATGTGGCGCCCGAGGTTTCGAACAGCTCGCGGGCACGGTTGCATCAAGGCATGCAGTGGATAGACCAGCATAACGCAAGCGTTGAACCTCATGAAGCCAACGGGCACGTCCATCGGCGCCGCGAATTCCAGAATAATGCCCTCAGTCCATCACAACACAAGGCATACTGTGGAACGCATATAACTGAGGCGTCACTGCACACAATGCCAATCACATCCGCATCAACGGGGCACGCAACATAACTGCGCCCATCAACTTGGGAAGTGAACAATGCTGCATGTACGTGTACGCACCAATGACACCCGAGGGACACATGTCTACATTGGAGATCGTCGAGTGCCTCTCGTCCTTCCTCCCGTTGGGGATCCAGGCTTGGCTTCTCGACGGTTCCTTCCTTTTCCTCTCTTCCTCTCTTGCTGTGAAGCGAGTTGCGCAGCAGTCTCGCGGCCACAACAGGCAATCGCCAGGAGCCGAGCAAGAGAAGGGAGGAAGCCCGCGGCGAAGGGGACGCGGCCTCGACGGCGCATGACCCGAAGAGACGGCCTCAGCCGAGCCACTCGAAGAAAGCAAAGAACATGATGACTACCTACCAGACCACCCCAACCCAACCCGAAGACCCGAATTTCGGGTTGGGGGGGGTAAGGGTTCCACATGTGTTTTTTCGATGTTTCCCGACCCCCCCCGACTGGAAATCGAGGGTAAATCTGAGCCTTCGGGTTGGGTTGGGGTGGTTTGGTGGGTGGTGAGAAGGAGGATGGAGCACGTGAGCCCCTCCACTCCGCAGCGCAGGACCCCCGCCCCCAGACCCCGGACGCTGCCCCTCGTGACAGCAAGGGCCCCTGCAGAGACCCGACAGGAGGAGGAGGAGGAGGAGGAGGAGGAGGGGCAGGGGGAGGAGGAGGAGGAGGAGGAGGAGGAGGAGGAGGAGGAGGAGGAGGAGGAGGAGGAGGAGGAGGAGGAGGAGGAGGAGGAGGAGGAGGAAGGAGGAGGAGGAGGAGGAGGAGGAGGAGGAGGAGGACAGGCCTCTCGCCCCGAGCAATCCTCACCCGGCCCCGGGCCCCCGGCAGGGGCACTTATCGAGTACTGCAACAGGGGCCGAGATCTGCTCAGTGCCGCTCGCCCCGCCCGCCGTTTTGCTGCGGTTGGGGAATACTCACTTCTACAAAATCATTGCTGTTGATCTCTGGGCGCTCTCGCCTCGACGCCGGCTGCAATCCCTCTGAACACGAGGCTCCCGCTCGAGCGCAGATTTTATTGTAAATGTGTGCCCGTGGAGGCCCGGCTAGTCCGGCTGCAACGACAACGGCTCCCGCTCAAGACTTCCTCAATTTACCCCGAGGCAGCCTGGCCAGATAGGCCCCCGAACTCCGGAGCATTGCTCTCGCTCGAGCCTTCCCCGCAATTCCATGAAGTTGGCGGGGGCCCGGCCACGACGACAAGGGCTCCTGCTTGACATTTCCTCTCGATTTACTCCGAGAGCCCCTGGCCAGGAAGGCCCTCGAAATCAGGAGCGAGGCTCTCGCTCGAGCTTTTCCCTCTATGCAGTCAAATTGGTGGAGGCCCACCTACGACGACAAGGTCTCTCGTTCGATTCTTTCTCAAGATGTATTTCCAGAGGCCCTGGCCAGACAGGCCCCCGAACTCAGGAACGGCGCTCTCGCCCGGGACTTTCTCGTAATTCAGGCAAGTTGGTAGAGGCCCAGACGCGGCGACATGGGTTCCCGTTCGACATTTCTCAATGTGTATTCCGGGAGCCCCTGGACACAGAGGCCCCCGAATTTTGGAACGGCGCTCTCGCTCGAGAGATCCTCGCACTTCGGAGAGTGGCCGACAAGGGAGATATTCCGCCCGAAAGGGGGTGTGATCAAAGACGAAGTGGGCGGGTATCGAGGGTTGGGGTGGCTCAGAGTGCAAGACACGCGTGCCACGTGCCAGTAAGAGGGAAGAATCTTGACATGATTATTGTCGTTGGTGTTGAAATTGCTGTTGTTGTGGATGTGGTTGTGGATGTTGTTGTTGGGTTCTCATATCTAAACAACACTTATTGTTGATCCCCCCTTCTGGGGCACTGTTTTTTTCAATTGCAATTGGCGTGTCCTTCCCGGGGCCCGCACCCGTTTTTGTGTCAAAACTTCACTCTCCGACATCTGTTGCTGGCCTCCAATTTGCAGCAACAGCGGCTCCCGCCTAATACTTCCTCACAAGTTGTTTCCATATCTCGCTCTCGAGCGGGATTTCCTCACAACGTATGCAGGACTCGCGCTCTCGCGTGGGACTTCCTCGCAATGTATACAAACGCCGCGCCCTCGACACTCAGGAATCACGCTCTCGCGGTGTATTCCGTTACCATGTACTTGGGAATCGCGCTATCGCACGAGACTTCCTCGAGATTCATGCAGGACGCACATTTCAGCAACCCGCCTGCTCGACCTGGCCGCCTGGGCCCGCCTTCCCGACCCGCGCGTTAGGGTCTATCCGCCCGATCTGTCCGTCTGGTACTGTCACGTGTTTTCTTCTCCTAGCCCCCCTCGTGTTCCTCCCCCTTGTCCCTTCCTTCCATTCTCCTCCTTCCCCCTTCCATCCTCCTTCCACCCTCCTCCTCTATCCTCCTCTTCCCCCTATCCATCAATGCCCTCCTTCTATCCTCCTTCCTCCCCCCTTGTCCTCCTTCCATCCTCGTCCTTTTCCTCCCCCCCCCCTCGTGCAGCATCCTCATCCTTCCCCCTTGCCCCTTCCTTCCGTCCGTCCTCTCTTCCCGTGCCTAAGGGCTGCACGAAATACGCGCTGCAGGTAAGAAAGATGCATACCCCAGAGGGGGTTACGATCGAGGACGAAGAGGGCGGGCACCGAGGGCTTCGAAAAAACGTGCTGGCTGGCCCGCGAGCAGGTAAGAGCGAACACAGTCTTGAGATGATTGCTGTTGTTAGTGCTGCTGTTGTTGCTCTTCTCTCTCTCTCTCTTTCTCATTCTCCCCCCCCGCTACGCGAAAGGGTCTGGGATTAGGTCGGGCATGTCCTCCTACAGGCGGATTTTGGATGAAAAATAAACAATATTCAATACATGCGCAAAAATCCGAGGATAAGGGTGAGATCGCAGTGGAACGGAGACCCCCAACCGGGAAATCGATTCGTTTCGTTCGTGTCGTGCGTGCGGGCGAGGCGAAGCTGCGTGGGCGCGCGAGAGGGATGAACCCGCCTCTGCTAGGGCGAAGTCAAAGCAAATGATTCTCCCCCGCCCGCCCGCCCGTCCGGCGGTGGCTCGCGGTGTCCCGCGGTGTCCCGCGGTGACCCGTGGTGTCCCGTGGTGCCCACCGTTGCTAGGGCGACGACGAAACAAATGATTCTCCCTCGCCCGCCCGTCCGGCGGTTGCTCGCGGTGTCCCGCGGTGTTCCGTGGTGTCCCGTGGTGTCCGCCGTTGCTAAGGCAGAATCAAGACAAATAATTCTCCCCCACCCGCCCGTCCGTCCAACCGTCCTGCGGTGGCTCGCGGTGTCCCGCGGTGTCCCGTGGTGTCCCGTGGTGTCCCGTTGTGTCCCGTGGTGTCCCGTTGAGTTAGATCGATAGTGAGATCGATAGTGAGACCGATAGTGAGATCGAGAGGTGTCCCGCGGTGTCCCGTGGTGTCCCGTGGTGTCCCGTTGAGTGGGATCGATAGTGAGACCGATGGTGAGATCGACAAGTGTCCCGTGGTGCCCCGTGGTGTTCCGTGGTGTCCCATTGAGTGAGATTGATAGTGAGATCGATTGCATCACATGTTGGTTTTCCTCCCCTATCCCCTCCTCACAATCTCCTTATCACCCGAAGGGTGGTCGTACAGGTACAAAAAAATAATCACAAACATCGTCCCCATACTATTTTGTGAATAGTTTTGAACATTCCTCCTGTAGAGGGACAGGCCCGACTGAAGTCTGGTTGGGGAAGTAAGGTGTGGCCCAGAGACCCCCAGCAGGCCCGAGGAGGAGCAGGACCAAAATCCCCCACTCTAGCAGCCCCAGGTCCGACCCTTTTTTACCAACGCAGAGAATGAAGGGGCCCAGGGACACACGAATAAACACACACACAAATCCCAGGACTCCCTATACATTCTCACACTCCAGCAGTCCCAGGCCCGACACTTTTTTTCAACGCAGAGAATGAAAGGGCCCAAGGACACACATATGAATACACACAAATCCCAGGATTCCTCTCATTTTCTAAAATGTTTTATGGGTTTTTGTATTCCCCCCCACTTCCTATATTTTCCCATCTTTCCCTGGGAGTCGACGATTGGGCGAAAGATAGGAACGCAGAAGGACTCCCAATCGGAAACCTCGACCTCAGCGCATGTTTGCGGGGAGTACTCCAGAAACACCAAGTCCGACACAGCCGGAATCTCTCGAAGGGCAGACTGAATGCCTCGGAGGGACGACTTCGGCTGCCGCCGGCGGAGCCGACCTGCGGTTTTCTTCCGCCGCTTTCTTTAGAGAAAAAGAGATTCAACCTCATAAGAATCACCCCGACACGTGAATCCATTCAGTAAACGCACCCAAAAAAGGAATCGAATAGGGCAGAGCTGTTCAGTAAACGCCCAGGGCCGTCTAGCAAGCGCCAATTATCGGGTCCGGGTGGTGTTCCTTCTGCCGCTTACTGGCGCGCCGGCCTGCCGCCGCATCCCGCCGAGGAAGAGGTGCCAGCCTCTCGATCTCTCGAAGGGCGAGAGGCCATCATCTCCGCAACAGGACACGTGGGCACCGCCTGAGCTCGCCTGCGCGCAACGAGTGGCCCTGGGCAAGCGTGACATTTGGTGCGCGGCTCTCTGGGGCTGGGGGCTCGATGGGGGCCAAACTGAGGTCGGGCATGTCCGCCCACAGGCGGATGTTGGCAGAAAAATGAAGATAGCCCCAGCATGCTCAGAACCCAGAACAGAAACTCGAAACTCGCCCCCAGACAATTGTTTCAAAATTAAGTTTGAATTTTGCTCCAGTAGAGGCACATGCCCGACTGAAGGCCAAACCCACGCACACAGGACGCCGCTCTCGCATCGCATCGCCAGCCATCGGGGGCCCCAGTGGGCCCGCCATCCAAAGGTCATTCCCACGAAAGGGTCACGCTGACGTGCACGGCAGGTCCCTGCCGTGATGGCTGCGGCGCTTGTTTCTCACACCGAGACGATCGCTCAACCCGGAACGATCGGCGGCTTGACGATCGCCGAACCGTCCCTTCTTGGCAGCTTCTGGGCCGCGGGTGGCGTTCGAACTTGGAACGCTCGCGGCAGGGTCGACGCCGCGTCGACGTTGCACTTCCGCAGCCCTCCGCTTAGGTCGGGCATGTCCCCTTACAGGCGGATTTCGGACGAAGAATCGAAAATACCCTTGAACATGCGCCAAGAATGTTCAAAAATAGTCCGGAAATCGTCCCCGAACTATTTTTGACTATTTTGAATAAATTTCCTGTAGAGGGACACGCCCGACTGAACCCTCCGCCGAGCATCCGCCGGCGGCAGCCGCCCGCGCCCTGCTCCCGCCGGACTCCCTCAGAAGGCGAGGGCGCGCCGAAGGCGAGGCGCCCGAGACGTCCGATGGCGGGATCCGCTCGCAGCGCAGGTCCCGAGAGGCCTGTGATGAACCTGTTTCCCACCACCACCACCATAAGTATGAGGGGGAGGGGGTCCCCCTCCTTCTCCTCCTCCTCCTCCTCCTCCTCCTCCTCCTCCTCCTCCTCCTCCTCCTCTACCTCCTCCTCATCCTCCACCTCCTTTCCCCCTCCAACTTATGGTGGTGGTGGTGGTGGAAAACAAGCCCATCAGCCTGGACCTCTTCCCAAGGACCACCTCTTTCGATGATCCTCAGCCGGGGAGACGGACGACTCGGCTTCGGGGGACTCGGGTTGACCCGACGGGGCCATGGTGAAAATGACGAGACCCAATCCGAAATTTGACGCGAACTCCCGCTGCAAACGCCCCACGAAAACGGGACCGTCAAAATCTGGGACGCGCTGGTCAAAAAGCTAAAAATCGAAGAAGAACCGAGTTAGGCGCGCTCGAGTCTTGCGGTTCCCCGGCTCAGCACGCGTGTTAGCGCCACCGCGTGCTTGCTCACCGAGGCCTTCCCGCACGACGCCGAGGGCGCCACGAGGGCCGACACAGGCTGCGCGCAGCCGGCGGAGCCGAACGAGGTAACCACACGCTCCAGGGGCTGCTCAGGGCGTCCCTCAGGGGTGGACCTGAACGGTGTTTTGGCGATTTCGTTGGCCGTTTCCGTTCGATGTCGTTTTGCGGTAAACAGGCGGATTGAAGACAAAACGAGGGAAAACGCAAACAAAACGGAAACGAACAACATCGCTTGGGTTCAGCCCTGGTGTCCCTGGCCCAGGGTGCCCCCAGCTCGTCGCTCAACTCTGGAGCCCCTGGGGCCCCTGGGCCTCGGCGGGGCTGCTCCAGAGGCCAACGGGGACCTCCCTGGACATCCCGGGGGCCACCGTGGGCCGGGGGGCACTGCCGGGAAGACCCGGACGCCCGGGCCACGCTGTGGGCACTGGCTGAGAAGACCTTCGATAAGGACACCAGGGTCTGGAAGCCAGTGGAAGGCCGATCGTGGATTCGCCATGGATGTCACCACCGCCCTCGTCGGATCAGGAACCCTCCAGGGCCTGAAGCCTCCTGGGCACGTTCCTTCACGAACGAACCCCCACCGCAGTGAGATTGCAGTCAGCCCCCGCCGCAGAGGGGCGCACGACGAGGATGCCTGGGCCTTGAAGGCCATGCCGACACCGTTGCGAGCGGGGTGCGGCCAGCGACAGCCGCCCAGGATGGGCCGAGGGGGGGAGACTGCAAGGGCAACCTTGGCAAACTGCTCTCCTCCCTACTCTGCGGGTCGACTGAAGCACGTGCCCGCCTCTTCCACGCCTCGGCGCTTTCCCCTCCTCCCACCCCCGCGCGGCCGTTCCTGTCCTTCTCCCCTCTCTTGCACGCCGGCCGACTCGCCTCTCGGTTGCCCCGAGATGGCACACGTGGGAACGGACTGCCTCTGCCTCGCCGCCGACGAGGAAAAGGAGCATGTGCCCGGAGAATCATCGACTCTTCACCACGAGCCGCTTCCTGACGGCCCCGCGGCCCAGCACGGTGCCCCCGAAGGGCGACGCTCGCCCCACACCGTGCGTCGTCAAAGGCGTCATGGGACACACAGCAAATGTTACACAACTCCCAGGCTTCCCCACAGTTTCGCATCTGCTCTGGGTTTTCGTCTCACCCCCCAGGCTCCCATATTTTCCCACGCCTTCCTGGTGATCGGCGATGAATGGTGTCTGTGTGTGTGTGTGTGTCAGTGTGTGTTTTTCTCCCCCCTGAGCCGCGACTGTCTGCGCGCCCGCCCAGTCCTCTTCGTCCTCGCCCTCGACCTGCAGGCCCCCCCCCCCCCGGGGGACGAGCAGAGGCGCCTCGTGGGGGGAGGGAGGGGGCCGCCCCTCTTCCTCCTCCTCCTCCTCCTTCTCCTCCTCCTCCTCTTCCTCCTCCTCCTGCTCCTGCTCCTGCTCCTCCTCCTGCTCCTGCTCCTGCTCCTCCTCCTCCTCTTCCTCCTCCCCCTCTTTCTCCTCCTCCTCCTCCTACTCCTCTTCTCCTCCACCTCCACCTCCTCCTCCTCCTCCTCCTCCTCCTCCTCCTCCTCCGCCTCCTCCTCCTCCTGCTCCTGCTCCTGCCCTCCTCCTCTTCCTCCTCCCCCTCTTCCCTCCTCCTCCTCCTCCTCCCCTCCTCCTCCTCCTCCCTCCTCCTGCTCCTGCTCCTGCTCCTCCTCCTCCTCCCCCTCCTCCCCCCCCCCGACCTCGTGGTGCCAGACGCCGCCGACGTCGGGGATGCGCGTAGCGGCGAGGCCCTTCCGGCGGGGCGCGCAAACATGGATTAGCGATCCATGGATCAGGCGCACGGTCGCCAAATCCATGGATCGGGGGAGGTACCCTCCCCGAAATGCGGCCGGTGCCGCCTCGCTCGGCGGCAGAAATCCACGATTTCCCATAGAAACGGAACCCGTCGCTAATCCACGCCCCCTTGATCCAGATTTGCGATCGCCTGATTCGGGTGCGCCTGGCCCAGCCGCAGGTAGCGGGGGCCGGAGGCGAAGGGGGATGAATGCAGCGGGAAGGACACATTCCGCACCTCTCGACGACACGGCGCCGGGCATGATGGGGTAAAAGGAAGGGCGCAAACAGGCCCCCCCCCCTCCTGGGCCCTCCCGCCAAGCCCGTGCGACCTGCCACAAAAGGCCGCTAGGAGGCGGTGGGCGCGGGATCCGGCCTGGGGAGGGGATCTCCTGGGAGGGGGCCTGCCACGGCGGACCTCCCTCTCGCGAGAGAAGACGAACACACATGTATATATATATATATATATGTGTATATATATACATGGGAGAGAATATGTATACGGAAAGAGAGAGAGAGAGAGAGAGAGAGAGAGAGAGACAGAGAGAGAGAGAGAGATGTATAAAGCGACCGCCTGCCCCCCACCCGCCCCCCATCGCCTCCCAGGACCACGGCGCGGCCCCACCCACCCCCCAGCGCCTCCCAGGACCACGGCACGGCGGAGGAGGATGAGGGAGAGGGGGAACGGCGACGACGACGACGACGACGACGACGACGACGACGACTACGACGACAGCGGCGACGACGACGCGGAGAGAGAGAACTGATGAGGAAAGGGTTTGATGTTTTGGGGGGAGTGCATCTCTGATTCCACCGCTGGCTGGCCAGACCGAGGGCGGTACTCGCGGCTGGACTCGGCAAGACTGCCGCAGAGGCGAACATCCTCCAGGGCGCCAAGGCTGTCGGCCGCAGGCCTTGCTCCCAAGCGGAGGGGTCGTCACGCCGCGGGCGGCGGGAACGCCCCCCCCCCGGGTCAGGGCGCTCCGGAGCGGCCCCCGCCGCGGCCTCTCGGCACCGCGGCCGCCGCCGCGCCGGCCGCGGTGCGGAGCTCCAGGGCCCAGGGCGGCGAAACGGTGAACGTTTTCTGATTCGGCGTGTCGACATTGGGCGGAAGGGGGGAAAAGGGAGAGGGGGGGGATAGCTCCGGACCTCTGCTCAGGGCGACTGTTTGCAACGGTGCGTCCTCTAGGGGAGGCTCCGCCTGCCGGAAACAGGCACCAAAAGCAGCCACGATCTACTCCTTTGGGGGGGGGAGGGGGGAGTGCGACGGGCCCGCGCCGATCGGCACAACAAGGAATAAACAACGATCACAAGGGGGTGCGCCGAGAGCTTGTTGATTCAGGCAAGTTTACTTGCATGGCGTTCGCCCCCTCCCCCCCTCGCCCCTCTTCAACCGAAAACTGGCGTGCAAGTGCCTCTCGACTTGCGTGATCTCCGCACGTGCAAGTCGCTCGCGGCTTGCTTCAAGTTCAGCACCTCCCCCCCCCCGTCCATGCAAATAACCTTGCGGCAATCTATGAGAAACAGGGGGTGCGCCGAGAGGCGGCCCAGAGCGCTCTGGAGACGCCGGGAGGAGTCCCGGAACTCGGGAGGAGGCCAGGCGGAAGTCTCGAGGAGGAGGGAGAGGGCGGAATAGAATTGGGTCGGGTATGTCCTCCTCAGGCGGATCCCGGGAGAAAATATAATGGTCTGACAATATTTCATAATAGTCAGAAGACCACGAAACATCGTCACCCAACAGTTGCCTTACTATTCTTGGATGTTCCTCCTTCCTCCTGTAGAAAGACACGCCCGACTTAAGAATGGAGGAGGGGCCCGCCGAGAGGCGGGCGCGGCCCACAGCCGGCAGTGCTCCCGCGCACGCGAGCGTTGCGGTGGAGACGGTGGAGCTCCCCTCGGGGCCACGAACCGCGCCAGGGGTGTGCCGAGATGGGGCTGGGCAGCCATGCGAGCATGCCCACGTAGGCGGTCGGCGGAGCTCTCCTCGGGATCACGAATCGCGGGAATGGTGAACCAAAATGCGACGAAACCGCCATACTAACTTTGCCACGAGGACACCACAAGGTGGACGACTTGCCCTCCCCCACTACCCTGAACGTCCCTGCCATGCTGTAACCATCGGCATGACACCTTTTGCAACACGGTCGCAACGCTCCCATACTTGCGCCACGCAACGGCTATTCGGCCGAGGTGCACATGTCAGAATGAACCGTTAACTGCGCCGCGCAACCTATACAAAAAGAGCCCGGGTGCACGTGTCTGTGCCTGACGGATTTCGCAACGGTCCAAAGGAAACCAATTCAGAATGACATGTGAACTGCGCCGCGCAACCAAACAGGAGCTGGGGTGCACGTGTCTGTGCCTGACGGAGGTCACATAATGGGGAGGAAGAGGAAGGAGAGGCGAGAGGAGGAGGAGGGTGGGAGAGGCGAGGGGATGGGAGACGGATGAAGAGAAGAGGTCGGAGAGTCGAGACGATGAGGATGGGAGAAGATGGGGAGCGGACTGGAAAGGAGGTTTTCGACGATATGGGGAACGGAACGGACATGGAGGCAGGATGAGGAGACGAGAAGGGCAAGAAGAGCAGGCGGACAATTGTCGGATGAACTAGACGCTGGGGAAGAGAATGGCTGGGAGAAGGGCGCGGCGGGGAGAAGCGGGATGGTGGGGTAGGGCGATGCGAAGACAACATACCAGGAATCTGGACTACACACACCTGACTGGATTCACGTGGGGAGCGTCTGGATTCCACGCACAAGTTGGAAAGACGGGCCGAGCTCCAAAAAGACATCCACGCGTGTATCCAGCCCCGCCCGAAGCTCGCCGCGTCATGCGTATCCAGCTTCCTGTGACAGCTCCCCAAAGCCTACAATGCCCCCAAAGAACCCCAACTGGAACCCCCGCAAGAACCCTGAGACCCCGAATGACCCTATTTACGCTCCTCCCCTACCCGCGAGGGAGAAGGCGAGGGAAGGATGGGGATGGGGACGGGGAGAAGGACGAGAAGGAGGACAAAGAGGGCGACAAGGGAAGGGGCACCGTGGGAAAGAGGAAGACACAGGCGGAGGAGGACGCGGCACAAGAGACACAGCCCGCCCTTCAGCACATGGCTGTCCGCCTTTGGGAACAGGCAAGCTGAAGGAGGAAGACGACGAGGAGGAGGAAGACGAGGAGGAAAAGGAGGGGGAGGAGGAGAAGACGTAGGACGGTGGAGGCGGCGGGCAACGGGCCAGACTGGATGGGCAATGGCTTTGACGCGGAGGGGAAGATGGGGGCATGCGGGGGAGGAGGCTGGGAGGAAAGAAAAAAAAAGCAGGATCGCTCCGATCGGGGCATGTGGGGAGACGGATCCAGGACGACGACGACGAGGGGGCCGGGGGGGGTGGCAGGAGGAGCGTAGGGAGGCGGGGCGCAGCGCCCCTGAGAGGGGAAGGCCGCGCAAGGAAAGGACTGCCCGTGGCCGAGAGCGCCGGAAGCGGCTGGCGGGCGGTGGTCCTGAGCCGGCGACTTCGAAGGGTGCGGCAGGCTCGTCGTGCCAGCTCCAGCGTTGGTTTCTGACACGGCGGAGATCGTTCATCCTGGAACGGCCGACCATTTCCGAAGAGTCAGATCTTTCAATATCCACCGATTCTGGGTCGCCAGCGGCGTTCAACCTTGGACGCCGGCCACGGGGTCGCCGCTGGTCGACACGACGCGAACCTGCCGCAAGGTTTGCAGAGAGTGCGGTTTTCAACCCGCACCGTGGGGCGGGCAAGGACCTCGACAAAGTTCTCCGCCGCGCCCCGACGAGGGTGACGCGTTTCCCCCCAAACCCCAACCACGCAGATCGCAAACCACACCCCAGCGGAACAACACGCTTCGTAGTCGCCGACCGAGGGGCGGTCGCACAACTCGGGCGGGTAAGGTGAGGGGGCGAGCGCATCACGGCCCGAGGCACGTGCTGGGATGAGGGGGGCAGGGACGCGTTGAATTAAGACGATCACGCCATGAACTCTGGGAGACTCCATGGCCCTGGCCATGGTAGCCACCCCACCTAGACGCCGGGAGAACTGCGGGTCATGGCTCGGACCTGTGGCGGCCGTTCGGGAGAAGATCCGGCCCCCCCCCCCAAAACCTTTCGACGAGGCGCAGCTGCTTGAACGCACCCCGGGGAGGGAAGACCTCCAAACACCAACGATCAAGCCCTCCCCCTCCTCTCGCCGACGAAGGCGTCCGTACCCCCCTCTGGGACGACCCGGGACACGGTCAGGGAATTCTCCATCGCGTGCCGCGGGGGCGGCCCTGCGAGTCCTGCGAGCGGATGGCGTGTCGCTCCGCTCCGCGGGACGAGAGGCTCGGAGAGGCTCGGGGAGTTGACCCTGGGGGCTGGGACGCGGTTCGCGTGCCGCGCCGAAGCGCGGTGGGCCAGAACCCGACGCAGCGACACGTCTACCGGCGCGGACGGAGCCCAGTGGCACGACACGACAGACGAAACGACGGACGACGACGAAGACGACAGAAGCGGCGCAGGGGAGGGGGAGGGGGAGGGGGAGGGGGGGGCGGGGGCCCGCGGGGGGGCGCCCGCGCCCGGCGCAGCCCCGCTCAGGCCCAGCAGCCCACGACGGAGCGACACGCTATCGGCCCGACCGCAGCGAGGAGGGGCCCGAGCAGCAGCAGGCGGACCCGAGGCGTCAGCGAGGTGCCCCCCCCCCGCCCCCCCCTTCGCGCTCCTGCCGCCAGGGCTCCGCGGCGGCGGAGCTGAAGAAGCCTTTGCGGGCGGCCTCCTCCTCCTCCTCCTCCTCCTCCTCCTCCTTCTCCTCTTCATCGTCCTCCTCCTCCTCCTCCTCCTCCTCTTCTTCCTCCTCCTTCCCATCGTCGTCGTCGTCGTCCTCCTCCTGCTCCTCCTCCTGCTCCTCCTCCTCCTCCTCCTCCTCCTCTCCTCTTCCTCCTCCTCCTCCTCCTCTTCTTCCTCCTCCCTCCTTCCATCGTCGTCGTCCCCTCCTCCTGCTCCTCCTCTACCTCCTCCCTCCTCTCCTCTCCTCTTCATCTCCTCCTCCTCCTCTCCTCTCTTCTTCCTCTCCTCCTTCCCATCGTCGTCGTCGTCCTCCTCCTGCTCCTCCTCCTCCCTCCTCCTCCTCCTCTCCTCCTCCTCCTCCTCCTTCTCCTCTTCATCGTCCTCCTCCTCTCCTCCTCCTCTTCTCCTCCTCCTTCCGTCATCCCCTGTCGTCGTCCTCCTGTCCTCCTCCTCCTCCTCCTCCTCCTCCTCCTCCTCCTCCTCCTCCTCCTCCTCCTCATCGATCCTCCTCCTCCTCCTCCACCTCCTCCTCCTCCGCATCCTCCTCCTCCGCCTCCTACTCCCCCTCCTGTTCTCTATTCGCCTCATCTCCGCTGCCGCTCTGGCCCCCCGCACGTCCCTCCTGCGCCGGCGTGGGCAACCCCTTGCGAGGGGGGGGCGGCAGCGGCGGAGCACGAGGGCGGCCGCGGGAGGCAAGGGGCGAGGGGTTCCAGAGCGAGGAAGACACGACCAGGAGCGCTGCCCTGATGGAACCGCCACTGGCGCCCCCCACAAGCTCGACTCCAACCCCCCCAGCAGTAACGACCAGCGAGCGGCACTCGACATCGGGCGCCGCGCGCAGGTCATCGCAGCTGGGGGTCGGGATCGGCCTTGGGTGGGCGCCAGGAGGACGGGAGCATGCCACGCCAGTCACCAGGAGAGCCCAGAGTCCAATCGACAAGTCGGATCGGAGATCGAAACGCATTGGCTCGGCGGAAATCGGCAGCCGAAACGGAGACGGTGCATCGGCGGAAATCGGCAGGCTGGTCTGCCTCCAGCAAGGAGTCGGAGCCCGAATCGGCATCCCAAGTCGAGCCGAATCGGAATCGGAGGCCATCGAAGTCGAACCGAACCGAATCGGGAGCAGCGGGACGAGCCCTGGGTCACGGCCCACCGCGTTCTGCGAGCCCTGCACTGCCGGCAGGAGTGCACAAACTGCTCCCTCGGGCTGGGGAGGTGGCCGCGACCCCGGGAGCCGAGAATCCACACGCCCCCCCGCGCCCTCACCACCGTGCTCGGGGTGGTGAAGGGCAAGCGCAGATCCCCTGAAATCGGCATGGACCTCCGAAATAAGGAGGAGGAGGAGGAAGAGGAGGAGGAAGGGGAGGAGGAGGAGCAGGGAGCAGGGAGCAGGGAGCAGGGAGGAGGAGGAGGAGGAGGAGGAGGAGGAGGAGGAGGAGGAGGAGGAGGAGGAGGAGGAGGAGGAGGAGGAGGAGGAAGGGGAGGAGGAGGAGGAGGGGGAGGGGGAGGAGGAGGAGGAGGAGGAGGAGGAGGGGGAGCAGGAGGAGGTGGTGGTTCTGTGTCTGTTTCTTCCTCGGGCCCGCTCGTCGCCTGGTCTTCGGGTCATGGCTCGGGTTTCCAGCGGCCGTGCGGGAGGATCGCGGCACCCCCTGGAGCGCTCTCGACGAGGCGCAGCCGATGGAAGCCGCTCCAGGACTCGAGGCCTTCAGAAACATCAGAAGACCTGCAGAAATGTCGGGGATGGACAGACCCCCCTTTAGTAAAACGTGGTTTAGTGAAAACGACCTGAGGCCCAAACCTGGCGGGCGCAAGCCTGGAAAATAACGGCCACGGCGCCCTCTCGAGAACCGAAAACGGACAATTCACTAATCGACGTGTCACTGTTGGGGGTTCTGTCCACCGCCGAAAATGTAAGAAAACTGTTGGGACCTCCTCAGATCCCCTCTCTCGTTCTCCCCAGTCCAACGAACACAACCATAGTGCCCCACCACGTGCACAACGCAAGCACAGAATCACCTGAGGGCCGACCTGCATCAGGCGAACCAACACGCGAGACCCTGGCCTATGCAGATGAACAAAAACAGGCACCAACGTAGCAAAAGTGTCCGGCGCATGCTGCCGCGACAGGGGGTCCAGGTCCCGTGCTCAAGCGCCAGGATATTAAAATAACAACTCGCACGACTCACATGACCCCTCTCTTGGAACGGCGACGCTGATTTTCTCTTCTTCGATCCTCTTCCTGCTGGTCCTCATCAGAAACAAAACTCGACGGACGACGTTATCCACCGCTGTTTTTCAAGATCCGCCATTGTTACTTGTTTGCAACCTGGCGTCTAGGGTGGCGGCATCGGTACCTGTTCCTCCTCTGATCGCTGTTAAGAGCTTATCTTCGATGCTCCTCCGGGTCCACGCCGGCTGCGCAACCGCCCGTCCTGCTCGGCGCCCATCCTCGACGAAGGGGGTGCGACGGAATAGTCCCCTGGCGGTGTATCCCCGAGTTCCCCTTCTCCTCGAAGCGGCCTGATCTTGTGGGAGAGGGGCTCGGAGACTGGGGGGCGAGACAGCGCCTCGAAGAAGAAGCGCCGGGCAGACGTACATGACTCGAGCGCTGCGGGGCTCGACTCGTCTTTTCGATTCGGGCGTCGCTTCATTCGGCGATGGACAAACCTCCTCTTTAGTAAACCTCCCCTTTAAGGAAACCGGCCTAGGACCGAAACCGACGGACCTGGACTTGCAAAAATGACGGCTGCGACGCTCTCTCGCGAACCGAAAACGGCCAATTCCTAAATCGACGCGTCAGGGTAGGAGGTCCATCCACCTCCGATTCATGGGGGGGCTGGCAGCGGCAGCGGCGTGGCGCAGAGAGTTTGAATTCACGATTGAGCCTGAGACCACAGAGTGAGCGGGACGCTCTTGTTGAGGCGTACTGCCACGATGGCGGGTCGACTTTCCCATACAAACTGCCGTCTGGTGCACGCAGTCTCTTGCTGGCTGGCTCGCTTGCGTCATGGGGCGGACGAAAAACGAAGGGGGGAAGAAAGGTGCAGCTTTCGGGCCCCAAAGGCCACCATTGGGGGCTCCAAAGGGCCCCGTGAGGGGCCCTGCAGAGGGACCCCTTTTTCTGCAGCCCTAGCTGCCCCCCCCCTGCCCCCCCCCCCCGTCTTTCCTCGCCCCCCCCCCCCATGACGCGACGCCCAGTCGATCCTCCCCCGTCCTCCTCCGGGCCCACGGCGGCTGCACCGCCGCTCCTCGCGAGGCGGCGGGCCCGGCTCGGCCGCGGCAGGCGGGCGCGGGGGAGGCGCGGGGCGCGCCGTCGATGGACTGCCGGAACCTGCTGACGCTCACCACCCTGGGCGGCTCGGGCGCGGGCTCGAGGACCGGGAGGGGGGCCGGAGAGCCGGAGGAGGGTCGAGGCGGAGCGAGGAGGAGGATCGCGAGGGCTGCGCGAGGGCCCGAGGAGGGTCGAGGCGGAGCGAGGTGCCGAGAGGCCCTGGCCGCGCAGCCCCATGGAGGGGGCGGGCTCCATGGCACGCAGGCCCAGCGCGCCGGCCACGCGCCCGCACGACGAGGAGGAGCAGAGGAGGAGCCGAGGAGGCGCGAGGCGGGGGGCGCGGAGGGCCGGGCGTCTCCGGGCAGGCCGAGGCGCTGATGGCTCGCAGGGGGGGGGAGCAGACGGGAGCGGCGCCGCCGATGGACGGCCGGGGCCTGCGGAGTAGCTCTGCACCGCGGGCGGCGGAAGGCCAGCAGGCGGAGGAGCATAGGGCCGCGGGGCGGGGAGCTGCGCATGGCCACCGCCAGGGGGGGTCGACTCTTCGGGGGCCTCGGCGGGCGGTGGGCGCCGAGGTGTGAGGCGTTCTGGGCCCTGGCCGTCCAGGATCGCAGGAGTTGGCACCTCCTCGTCGGCGGAAGGCGGCGGAAGGTCGTCGGACGGCGGCGATCGCCTCGGCCGCCTCCGGCGGAGGGCGGCGGTAGGTCGGCGGGAGCCAGCGAAAGCAGAGGGCTGCTTCCCAAGGGGGGGGCAAGGTTTGTGGGTTCGGGGCCTTTTTAACCAGACATGTGTGCCCCCCTCAAGGGGCCAAAGAATATGCATGTCCGCCGCCTGCCGAGGTCCCCGAACGAGTCGAAGAGTTGGGTCGAATCGACGTGCGTGTCGGCATAGAATCGAAATCGTATCGGATCGGTTACGCCAGGATGCACAGCATCGCCAGCCCTCTTCGAATCAACGGAAACACGGCATCGAATCGAATCGAGCTGGCCAGAACCAATGCCGAGTCGGATCGATCGGGTCGGAATAGACCCTGAGAGCTTTCGTCGATTCTCGGCGGCTTTCTGGCCTCGGGATGCCTTCCCGCGGCTGCCCCGCCGAGAGCCTCCTGGGGGTGCCCGCATCGTCCCGCACGGCCGCCGGAAGCCCGAGTTATGTACCCGACAACCACCAAGGGACCGGCTCAGGGGGGGGGACATCGACCTGGCATCGGTTAGACACCGCCGATAGATCGGAGATGGCCCCCGACAGCGAATCCACATGCTCCTGGGCGGGGCTGGCTATCGGACCACTATCGGGATCGGAGGTCGATGCGTCTCCCCTGGAGCCTTATCCCCCCCCGAGAGTTGCCACGGAGGCGCAGGAGCCGGAGCAGCAGGGCGCGGAGCGTGACGTGCGGGGGGGGATTACACTCTTTTGGGGGCCCTGCTCCATCGTCTCCCATTCTCCTCCTCCTCGGCCAGGCAAGGTTCGGTCTACGGCGGGAGGCCCCATGCCAGAATGGAGAGAGGTGTGCGATCAAAGCGATGCGTGAGGCAGCCATCCCTCACTCCGTCCGTGGGGAACCACAAGTGAACCCCACACCTCGAGGTCAGATTTCCGAAAATCCACCCAGGGCTCGAGATTCGAGAGATGCCAGGTGAGCGTTTTTTGATTCGGCGTTTCGACATTGGGCGGAAAATGGGGGGGGAGGGGGGGGGTCTGGCTCCAGACCTCTGCTTATTGCGACTGTTTGCGACAATGCGTCCTCTGAGAAGAGTCCCCACCCGCTCGAAACAGGCGCCAAGCAACAGCCAAGATCTACTCCATGGGGGGGGGCGGAAGGGGGATTTGGGGGCCCGCGCCGATCGGCAAAACAATGAGAAACAAAAACGATCACCAGCAGCCCTGTGCGCCCTGGGGCCCCTGCCTCGACTGTCCGCAGGGGAGAGCCGCAGGCAGGCGGGGGCGCGGAGGAGCGGGAGCAGGGCAGGGAGGCGGCAGCCCGAGTCCCGGTGGGCCAATTGTCCACCACCACAACCACAGAAAGGACGGAGGAGCAGGGAGGATTGGGAGGTCCTCCTCCTCCTCCTCCTCCTCCTCTTCCTCCTCCTCCTCCTCCTCCTCCTCCTCCTCCTCCTCCTCCCCCTTCCTATGGCATCGGTGGTGGAAAAGCGGCCCATCAGGACCTGGCGCAGAGCGGCACTCCCAGCAGCCGGTGCCGAGCGGCAGTCCGGCAGGCCGCTCTGCTCCGCTGAGCTGGTGGGGTCTGGGTGCCCACGCGGGGTCTGAGATTCGTCCACGGCGTCGCATTCGTTCTGCTCACTCGGTCTGTGCACCCGCTCACGGCGCGTATGCTCACTCGCCGAGCCCAGGCTCGCAGAGCCCGGCCCTTCCTCGCTCGAAAGCTGGGCCCTGCGACCTCCGAGAGGGCCTCGTGGGCGAGCGTCAAGTTTTACCTTCTGCATCTGAGCAGCGGGCCCCCGCCCCCGAGGGGCGTAGCGCCCCTCAGACAGGCAACCCTCGCGGCGGGCCCGCACCCTCTGGGAGGGGCGCGAGGAGCGAGGGGACCAAGTGTAAATTTACGAGAGCAAGAGGGGGGGAGGGAACCAGCTGTTGCACAGTGGGGGCCCGACCACAGAGAAACCTTCCGCAAGAAACCCAGACCTGCGACCCCAGGACGTCCACTGCTTTTGGGTGTGGGAGCGTCGCGCTCCCCATCGCAAAACCATCGGAACCCAAGAAACCCAAGGCACCCTGGAGCCGAGTAGGGTGTCTCTTGCCATGGGCCCCCGCTGTGATGGACGAGGCTCTGGACGTCGTGAAGGATGTTATGTTGCATCTTCGGGGGACCTTGTCTGTCCCGGCGCGGCCCTATCCGCGTCGAATCCGAGTCGAATGCATGTCGGGCTCGTCGGATCCGTGTCGAATCCGTGTCGAATCCGCGTCAAGTCCACGCCGAATCCGCGTCGAATCCGCATCGAGCCCGCGTCGGGCGCAAGAAAAGGTACAAGTTTTGGGGACACGCGGGGCCCCCCAAAGATGCAACGTAAAGGACGACCGCTCGCCTCTGGACGAGCTTTTGGACCTCGCAGCTGCGGCCGCCCGCCCGCGGGCCGCGCCCTGCCTGCAGCCTGCGCCCGCCAGGTCCTGCAGCGCGGCGGCCAGCTGCGGGTTGTCCTCGCCAATGGGGCCGCCGACGACGATGCCGACGCCGACGCCGACCTCCCCTCGTCGCCCTCCGCCTGGGCCTCGCCCTCGCTCCTTCCTCCTTCACCCGCTCCTCCTCCTCCTCCTCCTCCTCCTCCTCCTGCTCCTCCTCCTCCTCCTCCTTCTCGTCGTCCTCCTCCTCCTCCTCCTCCTCCTCCTCTGCTCCTCCTCCTCCTCCTCCTCTCATCATCATCATCATCATCATCATCATCATCATCATCATCATCAGCATCATCATCATCATCATCATCATCATCATCATCATCATCATCATCATCATCATCATCATCAGCATCATCATCATCATCATCATCATCATCATCATCAGCAGCATCATCATCATCATCATCATCATCATCATCATCATCATCATCATCATCATCATCATCATCGGCATCATCATCATCATCATCATCATCATCATCATCATCATCAGTTCCGCTCCTCCTCGTCGCCGTCCTCCTCCTGCTTATCCGCCTCCTTATCCTTGTGCCCATGTTCCTCCTTCGTCTCCGCCTCCCCTTCAGTCTATCCCCCCTTCTCGTCTTCCCCGTTGTCGTCGCCATCCTTCTCCAACCTTCCCTCGTCATCCCTTCCCCCCCCCCCTGCATCGGAAGAGTGCGACCTGTGGAGTTAGGCCAACGGTAGAATATGGAGCTAGCCTCTCCTCCACCTCCTCCTCCTCCCCCTCCTCCTCCTCATCCTCCTGTTCCTCTTCCTCCTCCTCTTCCTCCTCCTCCTCCTCCCCCTCCTCCCCCCCCCCTCCCCCTCCCCTCCCCCTCCCCCTCCTCCTCCTCCTCCTCCCTTTCCTCCTCCCTTTCCTCCTCCTCCTCCTCCTCCTCCTCCTCCTCCTCCTCCTCCTGTTCTTATCCTTCCTTATCCATCTCCTCTCCGGGGCAGGAGGCTAGTTTGTAGGGCGGCCGGGGCGTTTCGCCTCAGTCTTCCTCACCACGCATGACTCTGAAGCTTAAAAAATTGGCAACAGTTTCGCAGATGGACGGCAGCTGATTTTCAACATGTGGTTCTCGCCTTAGCGCCGCGCGCGTTCGTTCTAAAAAATTGCACGGGTTTTACGGATTGAAGACCACCCGTTTTTCGAATGTGGTTCTCGCCTTAGCACCGTGCACATTCGTTCTGAAAAGTTGCAAGAGCTTCACGGATTGAAGATCACCCGTTTACAACATGTGGCCCTCGCCTTAGCGCCGCGCACATTCGTTCTAACAAGTTGCATGGGTTTCACATATTGATGACAGTTCCTTCCCGAAATGCGGCTCTCGCCTTGGCGCCGCGCACATTCGTTTTGGCATGCTCCTGGGTCTTCAAACGGTTGTCTTCAAACGAAGCAGCTACCAACATGGAAATGAACCGTTGTAGAGGCCTATGATGAGGGAGCTTGGAGGGAGGGTGTATTCCAACATCGTTGATGGCTCTTGCGCTTACACTGGTCCTCCTCCTCCTCCTCCTCCTCCTCTTCCGCCTCCTCCGCCTCCTCCGCCTCCTCCTCCTCCTCCGCCTCCTCTCCTCCTCTCCTCCTCTTCTCCTCTCCTGATCTTCTCCTCTTCTCATCATTTCCTAGTCTCCTCTTCTCCTTTTCTCCTCCTTCTCCTTCTCCTCTTCCTCCTCCTCCTCTTCCTTTCCCTCCCCCTTTCCCTCCGCCTCGGGGGCACTTCCCAACATTGGCTGAAGGAGCCCTTTCTGGCCCCTTCCTTCACACCCCCTTTGAGGTCGCCCCCATATCACCACTCGCCCGAGAGAGTTAGCCGAAGGGTGGGGGAGAGGGGGGGGGGTTCTGGGTCTGGAGTTAGGTCGGGCATGTCCCCCTACAGGTGGATTTTGGACGAAAAAGATAAGGTAGTCAAAAAACTACTCCCAAATAGCCAAAAAGAATAGAAACAACTCGTCCCCTGAGTATCATTAGACTATTTTCCGACATTCCTCCTGTAGAGTGACAGGCCCGACGGAAGTCTGGAGCGGGGCTTCGTCGATCTGCTCGCTCTGCTTTAATGTCGCGCAGGCAGACCGATGGGGGGCCCTGGCCACTCGCCGAAGGCAGCCGCCAGCAGCAGCCAAGATCTGCTCCGAGGGGGACGAAAGGCAGAAATCAAAACATCCACCCCATTCTAACCACCCCGGCAAGAGGAAGTCGTTTAGCAAACGCGCCCAGAGAAGAAATCGAACAAGTCAAGGCTGTTTAATAAACGCCCAGGGCCGCTTAGTACACGCCAATTGTCCGGTCTGGGTGGTTTTTCCTCCCATGGATAAAAAAGGGAAGAGAGCGGGGGACCCGCGCAGATCGGCGAAATAATACATAGCAACATATCCGTACCACCCCGAAATTGCGGATGAGGGTGGGTGGACGGACACGGGGTGGGTCGCGGGGAGGGTCGCGGGGTGGGTCGCGGGTGGGTTGCGAGTGGGTCGCGGGTTGGTCGCAAGCGGTTCGCGGGGTGGGTCGCGGGGTGGGTCGGGGGAGACGACGACAAACACAAGAACAATATCAATAACAAGAACAAGGACAATAACACCAGCAACAACAACAATAATCATGTTAAGACTGTTCGCTCTGATCTGCCCGCGGGCCATCCAACATGTATCTCCCAGACCCTCGATACTCGCCCTCTCTGACTTTGATCGTACCATCTTGGGGGTATGCATCTTACTCACCTGCAACGTGTATTTCGTGCAGCCCTTGAAGCAGGGGAAGAGAGGACGATTGGAATGGACAAGGGGGAGGAAGAAGGATGGAACACGAGAGAGAGAAACTAGCAGGAGAGGGGCAAGGAGCACAAAACAAGTGGCACAACCAGACAGGAAGATCAGGCGGGTGGACCCCGACAGGCTGGTCGGGAAGGCGGGCCCGGGAGGCCAGGTCGAGTAGGCGGGTTGTTCAATCGTGCGTCCTGTATGGACCGCGAGGAGGTCTCGAGCGATAGCGCGATTCCCAAATCAATCTCCAGGAAATCAAAAGCGAGAACGTGATTCCTGAATGTCGAGAGCGTGGCGTCTGAATAACGGCAAGAAACTCCCACGCGAGTGCGCGATTCTTGTGTAACTTGTGAGAACGTCCCGCGCGAGAGCGCAATTTGGATATAGTGTAAAGAAATATCAGGCGGGAAACGCTGTTGTTGCAAACAGAGGCCAGCAAGGCAGTATGGTAACCCCTCGCTTTTTCATGCAGAGAAACAGGGTGCGAGCCCTGGGAAAAAAAAACGTTCATTGACGACTGCACTGGTTACCGAAGGGGTCTCATGAAACAAATTACATGGACATGAGAACTCAACAACAGCAACAACACCAACAACAACAACAGGCATCGTTTTAAGACTGTTCGCTCTCACCTGCATGAGGGCCGTTCAACACGAATGTCCCAAATCCTCGGTACCCGCCCTCTTCGTCTTCCGCCGTACCACCTTAGGGGTATACATCTCTCTTGCTTACAAGGCGTCTTCCGTGCGGCCCTTGAAGCAAGGGAAGAGAGAAATATTGGTCGCGGGTTGGTCGCAGAAGGTTCGCGGGGTGGGTCGCGGGGGTCGCGGGGGATGACGACGACAAACAGAAGAACAATATCAATAACAAGAACAAGGACAATAACACCAGCAACAACAATAATCATGTTAAGACTGTTCGCTCTGATCTGCTCGCGAGCCATCCAACATGTATCTCCCAGACCCTCGATACTCGCCCTCTCTGACTTTGATCGTACCATCTTGGGGGTATACACCTTACTCACCTGCAACGTGTATTTTGTGTAGCCCCCTGAAGCAGGGGAAGGGAGGACGATTGGAAAGAAGGGACAAGGGGGGGAATGAGGATGTGGAGCACTAGTGAAATAGTAGCAGGAAAAGGGCAAGGAGCAGAAAACACCTTGCAGAACCAGACGGGCAGATCGGGCGGGTAGACCCCGACAGGCGGGTCGGGAAGGCGGGCCCGGGCGGCCAGGTCGAGCAGGCGGATTGTTGAATCGTGCGTCCTGCATGAATCGCGAGAAAGTCTCGAGCGATAGCGCGATTCCCAAATCAATCGTCAGGAAAACAAAAGCGAGAACGTGATTCCTGAATGCCGAAAGCGTGGCGTCTGAATATCGGCGAGGACCTCCCACGCGAGAGCGCGATTCGGGTGTAAATTGTGAGGCAGCCACCCAAGCGCAATTTGGACATGAATTGTAAGGGAATATAAGGGGGAAGCAGTTGTTGTAATAAACCCGTGGCCAACAAGGCAGTATGGTGACCCCTCGCCTCCCCCTGTAAGAAACAAGGTGCGAGCCCCAGAAGAAGTATTTTTTAATGAATACAATGGTCAACGGGCAAAAAGAATCAGCAATGATCCTTCTCTAGAAACGGAACTTCACCAACACCAAAACCAGCACCACCAACAACAACAATAATAACAACAACGCCAACAACAACATCAACAACAACCATTTGAACACTGTTCGCTCTGATCTGCCCGCGTGACATTGTGTATGTATCCCAAATAAATGTATACCAAACAAATGTATACCAAACCATCGACACCCGCCCTCTTCGTCTTCGGTCGTACCCCCCTGGGGGTACACCGGACTCATTTCTATAGCGCTCACTTCTATCGTGCCCACATGCAAATTGAAATCCAGAAGGGGCCGCACATGCAAGCACATGCCGCACAGTCGAATGCACATGCCGCCATGCCCATGCAACCCCACAAACGCCTCAACAACACTGCCGCACATGCGCGCACATGCCGCACAGTCTGATGCACAGTCGGATGCACAGTCAGCTTAAACTCTGAAAACATAAAACTCACATGCGCGCACATGCCGCAGAGTCGAAACATCGGAGGAGGGAGAGACAAATGGGCAGGAAAGAGGAATGAGGGGAGAAGCGAGGGGAACGAAGGAAGCTAATGCGGCTGGCACTCACACTGAAACACCATACCCGCATCGGGGATGTGACACGATATGAAACCAATCCAGCACAGGGATGGGGTCAGCG